AGCAGTGCTGGCAGCTCTCTAAGGACACTCTACTGAGAGCCCAAGAGCTTTTCATTAGCACAAGAAATGAAGAAGAGGCAGAAAAACTGGCATGGCTGAATAAGAACCTCCTGGTCAAGCTGAAGGAGAAGGAAATGTACATGTGATGGAAGCAGATGTATGTGGTGTGGGAAGAATACAAGAATGCTATTCAGAGAAAAGCAGATGAGGCTAAGAAAACTGAGGTGGAACTGAACTTGGCAAGGGATACAAAAAATAACAAGGGATTCTACAGATACATTCTCAGGAGAGAAAAGCCAAGGAGAGTGTACTGCTTCTGATATATGGGAAAGGAGAACTGCCTACGACAGACATGGAGAAGTCTGAGGTACTCAGTGAGTTCTTTGCCTCATCCTTCATGCTGGTCAGGCTTCACATGCCTTTTGTGTCTGAACTACAAGGCAGGGGCTGGGGAAGTAAAACCCATCCCATTGTACAAGAAGAGCAAGTTGGAGACAACCTCATGAAATTGAATGTGTACAAGTCTATGGGCTGAACTACATACAGCCTAGGGTTCTGAAGGAAATGTCTGATGCACTCTACACACATTTGAAAAGTTGTGGCTGCAAGATGAAGTCCCCTGTGAGAAAGGGAAACATCACTCCTAAAGAAAGGGAAAAAGGAAGACCTGGCGAATGACAGCTGGTGAGCCTCATGACTGCCTGTAGAGATCATAGAACAGATCCTTTCGGAAGAAGTGTTAGGGCACATACAAGATGAGCAGGTGACCCGAGACAGTCTGCATGGCTTCATCAAAGGCACACTGTGCCTGATCAATCTGATGGCCTTCTAGGATAGAATGATGGCATCAACAAATAAAGGGCAGATCATGTGATCTACTTAGATTTGTGCAGAACATGGGCCTGCACCACCACCTTATTTCCGCACTGGAGAGCTATGAACTCAAACGGTGGACTGTTTGGTGGATAAAGAATTGTTTGGATGGTGCCAGTGAGAGAATTGCTGTCTATGGCTGTATTCCATGTGGAGGTTAGTCTTGGTGGTCCTGGTGGTCAAAAAGCTGGGTGTAAGCCAACAGTGAGTGTTTGGAGTCTGGAAAACCAACTGTATCCTGGTCTGCATCAAAACAGGGTGACAGCAGGGCAGGAAGAGGATTGTCCCCCTTTGCTCTGCCTTGTGAGGCTCTATCTAGAGTACTGCATCCTGGTCTGGGTCCCCTATGAGAAGAAGTATGTAGAATGTTTGGAATGGGCCCAAAGAAGGGCCACTAAGATGGTTGGAGGGCTGGAGCGTATCTCCTATTAAAAAAATTGAGGGAGATGGACACAGATGCCTGCAGATATTCCTCCCCAGGTGCAAGACTCTATCCTTGCTCTTGTTAAACTTCATCAGCTTCCTTCCTGCTCAACTCTCCAGCCTGTCCAGGTCTTGTTGAATGGTAGCACAGCCTTCTGGTGAGTCCACTCCTCCCACTTTTGTATCATCAGCAAACTTTGTGAGGGTGCACTCTATCCCTTCACTGAGGTTATTAATGAAGATATTGAACAAGAATGGACTCAGTACCAACCCCTGAGGAGCATTGCTAGTCACAGGCCTTCAACCAGCCTCTGATGAGAACCCTCTGAGCTCAGTCAGTCAGCCCATTCTCAACCCACCTCACTAACCACTCATCTATTCCACACTTTTTAAGTTTCATAACAAAGATGTGGTAGACAGTATCAGTCTTGCTGAAGTCAAGGTACACAACATCCACTGGTCTCCCTCTATCTATCCAGTGATGACATCATAGAAGGCTATCAGGTTTGTCAAGACATTCACCATTTCCTCTTTGTGAATCCATATTCACTACTCATGATTACCTTCTTCTCATCAATTACTTGGAGATGGCATCCAGAGCAAGTTGTTCCATCACCTTTCCAGGGGTGAGGATGAGGCTGACTGGAACGTAAAGCAATCTTTTTTTGTCATTTTTCTTCCATTTGTAGGATATAGCTCTGGAAAGAGAGAGACAGCACTTTTAGTTGGGACATAATGGCTAGCTCTAGCAACAAAAATAGTACAGTCTTGTTTGTCGGCATCTCTGTATATGACATTTAGTGTTGTGTCTAAATGTGTGTATTTGATGTCTAAAATCTTTAAAAGATTGTTTAGGAATTGAGTTCAGGGAGTATATCCTGATACAAATGTGTGATAGACTTTCGATGAGGATTATCTGTTTTTACTACATGTGGTGACATGTTCAGAATGTAGGCTGATTGTCTGAGATTTGTATGAGTATTAGGTTTAAGCACAGACAAAATGTGAAGGTTTAAAGAATGATGTGAGCTATGACCAGTCTTGCTGACTTGTGCAGATTTCCATATTCTGTGGAACAATCAGCTATTGAAATCTCATCCCACAAATAATGTTGCAGGTTTAGGAATGACAAGTAGTGTCAGCACACCGTAATTATCATGAGGTGGTGTAATACACAAAGAATGTACTGTGCCATTTAACACCAAAACAGAAAGAACAGGAGGAGAGAAAGTATTAGTCTACAAAATCAGAAGTGATTCTTAGATGTGAATATTTTATTTTTCAAATGCTCATTCAGTTGATTTTTTTTTTTTAAATTTTCTTTTATTATTAACAAAAGGCATTTGTCATTTTGAGTTAATGCACTGCCAAGCAAGAGTGAGTAATAAAGATGACCTCTGTCTTTATGCCACCATATTTATCTGAAAGGGAAAGTCTCAGCAGACTGTTTTCATCGTACATAATTAAGCAATTCTGAATGCTCAGTAAAATCTGAATGGTGTAGCATACAGTCTGGTAATATGACAGTTAATGAGATGAGACTTACACTTATTCTGCCTTTATAATAAGTGAAAACTTTTGCTTTCAGATTGAGTGCAGACAGATACTGAAGTATTCATTAAAAATGTTAAAACTAACAACAAGGGCTCTGTTTTCTGTCTCTCTGCTTTGCAACTCTCCCCAAGAAAGGAGAAACTAGATGAAATTATTTCTTAATTGCACTTATTCAGTATCTCTAATAAGCTGTGACAGTTGCATTCATGGTGGAGAAGGCTAAAAAAGACATTCAGGAAATCACTATCAACACATAGTAATTTCCTCCCTGTACTTTACTTTCAGAGTCCAAAATATTCACAGACTGGTTGAAACTACATAATTAATTTCACTCTGTGCCTGTAATAAGAAGATAATATTGCTTAAAAAGACCTTTCTGCCTCTTTCTCTGCTGCCTTTCCATATGCAGATACTAAATAATTTAGCCTTGTGTAAGCCTTCTACTCTCACTAATGTTTCTTATGTGCATGCAGCATTATGGTCTTTACATCTTACACAATGTGAATTCAGGAGGGTGAGGCTTTCCTTTTCTTTTTATGAATGATACAGCTTAGCTGATTTTCAGAAAACAGTATTTTTAAAACTGTGCAGAGAAATGTTGGTAAGCAAACTTCACTGAGGATTTGTATTTTCAGTTTACTTTTTTTCCTCAATAAGAGATCACCAAAGTGTTGTAAATGATTCAGTGAACATGTTTTAATGCAGTATGAGTAGTGGAAATCTCAGTAATTACTTTAGGTTGGATAGATTGGTTGTGTATATTTGGCATCAATCATAGAAGTCCAACCACCTCCCCAGAGAAGAACTGTGACAAGACCACGTCTACATCTGAAAATGTAATCAAGACTAGAGCCCTAAGCTTTTAACCCAGCAAGTCCTCTGAGACATCACAGTTGTGTTCAAAATTAGGACTTTGTTCTTAGCTTGAAGGAGGCAGCTGAGGCGCTCATCTTTCTTCTCCACACTGCTCTGCTCCCCTGGTGACTTGAACTAACCTCTTTGATTTCTCTCTAAACCTATCTGTATCTCCCGAGTGCTCAGTCTCTCTTGCCCTGTTTTGCTGTCCACTCCTGCCCCCAGAAAGGGATTCTGGGATAGTGCAAGGAGATGTGCAAGTCCCCGGACGATGGCTCTAGCTGCTGAGATAAGCTGTGGGTGAGAGTGCAAACACAGATTTCGGCCCAGGTTTACCTGTGTCAACGCTGTAGTAAATTGTTCAGGGACTGGAACAGAGAAAACCTGATCTGCTGTTCAGTAAGCTTACCAACACTGCTTTGTTTTACAAAGATGTGAGTGAAAGCCAAGCTGCTTCAGTTGCCCTGAGCTCCTGAGAGATATCAGCTAATAGGTGACATAAATTACACAGAGATTAGCATTCACCAGATGGACTCATCTCGTGGCTGTATGGAAAAACCATGTTCTCTCATTGTCATCTGTTCCAGAAGGAAACATATATGAGCTCTCATCCACAGAGAATTGCTCTGTTTCATGTTTCTCTTAAGCTAAAGGGTTCTTTATAAAAAAAAAAAAACACAAAAAAAAAACCCAACAAAAAAACAACAACAAAAAAACCTACAAACAAACAAACAAACAAAAAAGTTTGTATATGACAAAAAACATTTTTTTTTAATTTTTTGTTTTGTTTTGTTTGTTTTGGTCTTTCAGAAGTACTTTATTTCTGGATTTTGTTAAATATTCAAATCTTTTTTTAAATAGTGTTTTCAGCTCAAAGCAATACATAAGCATATGGGCTGAACAGATCAGGCTTGAGCCTGGAGCAGTGGAACTTGAGGCAAGCCTGCTGATCATAGCAGGAGAAATGGCAGGACAAAGGACATTACAGTATTTGTTCTTTGCTGACACAGGACGTATACTTCGGGAGAGAGAAATGCCCTTTCCTGGAGATTTTTTTCCCCTTGATTATTATAAATGGCACAGATCGTGAGTGAATTCGTGGAGGAGGGGAACTGAGAACGTTTTGTAATTCTTGAAAGGTTAATTGTGCTATTTATAGACCTGACTGCAGAGGGGAAAAAACTCTCAGTGTGACCCGGCAATGTCAATGCAGTAATAGCAACCTAAATGGAGCTCTGACCAATCATGAATTACTGTCTGTGATACTGAGAATGCTGACAGTTCAATCACAGCACTGTTTCAATAGAGAACTCCATATATTTAAAGCACTGATACTGTTTTCCCTCTAAATGACAGGCTTGACAGATGGGCCGAAAGCACTGCAGACGTTTGAACAAGGAAATGGAGAGGGAGCCTGCTGGAAACAGGGCTTCACGCAGCCAGCCGTGGATGATGAATAGAGTGTGATTGTGTCTGACAGGTAGTAATATAACTATTCATTCACCACAGAACACCTGGAGCACACTATATTAAATGGTACAAGATGGAGAGATCCTGTGACAGGAATGGGAAGTGTGAATCCCATGCTGAGTTTAGGTACAGCAATATAAAAGGTCAGGGGTCGCACAGTATAAAGTGCCTCGGAGAGGGCTGTAATTAAATTATTTGCTTACTAAAGTGTTTCTAATGTTTTCCTAGCGTATTGCCAGGATCATTACTTCAGCATGTCTGCATAGCTGGAATGGAAATAGAAATGCTGCTTTGCTGACTACTGTGTTTCCGTTTTGCACTGAGAAGCTTGCTAATCAAAGCGTTGTCATTATTGCACAAAGCTGTCACATAGCAGGAGCGTAACGGGTCCTGAAAGCTGTGTGCTTTGTCTAATAACCTGAAGCTTTCAGATGACCTTATTTTTGGGCTTCTGGGGCCAAAAATGTGCTGTATGTGCCAAGCCTGTGGAAATCAAAAGATCCTGCATTCTTGGTAGGTGTGGGCTGTGGAGCTACATAACATTGTGATTTTATTTTGTGCACCGTGGCTTTGACATCCTGAGAAGCAGATCTGAGCAGAAGGAAGCTACCATTTTAATCTAGTTATGAGAGAACTGCAATTTTAACCCAGAGTAAATTCATTGTATTATTTTTGTTTTGTTTTGTTTTTGTTTTTAAGGAGGCAACAATGCTTTAAAAATAGAAAGCCAGGGCCTCAGAACAGATTTCTGTCAGTTTGAGACGCAGAAGAGCAGCAGTAAATTGGCTTATTGAATTGCCTGCTATTTTCCAGACAGAATCTATTAAAAACTTCTGGAATACTTTTTAATCTTTGCTGGAGTATATCCCTTGGATAATTAGAAACTTCTTAGAAGATTTTGATAGGCATTATTTTATGAGAGTATGTTCTTAACATTTCAAAGGAAACCTCTCTAGTTGTCATCTTCAAGCAAAGATTTGTACTGCAGTTCATATCTTGCTGGGCAGGGCTGTTAACTCAGCATCCTTGTCTTCTTCCTGGCCACTGGTGACTCTTAAAAAAGTTAATGACAAGATGCAGTGTTCTTTCTCAAATATAGGTGATGTATAAAAATATAGGCAATATATAAAGATAGCCCAGTTGAAGGCTTTACTTAGGTAATATGGAAATCTAAGTTTTTATTATTATTTTTTTTTAATCTATTTGTGTCTACATATATCTATCACAGATAATCTGGCTCAGGTTACCTTGATTTCTCCAAAAGTAATGCCTCCTATTTACTCCCTTGGGAAATACAACAGCTACAAAGAGCAGAGTAGCTGTTCTCTAGAGGAAGTTCTCAGCTTCAAAACACTGCTAATCAACGCAGTCACAACCGTGCGCCGTTTTGTCTTCCATGTGGCAACAGCATGTGATGGAATATTGGTGAGAAGGCTATGTATCCCACCAACATTCCCCTCTGACATCATGGGCCAAAATAATAAAATAGGAGGCATTACTATTGGAGCAGCTCTTATATACAGAAATATTGCTGTTGGTCATGCTCTATATCACTGTCCTGTAATCTCAAAGAGCTGAAAAATATAAAATATTTGAATATATGTGATTTTATTCAAAACTTCAATGTATAATTGATTGATTTTAGTGTTCTTGAATAAAAAAAAATAAAAAATAAAAGAGATGACCACCTAAAAACATACTGGCTTTTGATAGTTAAAATATCTGATTTTGTTAAGCGCTTAACAAATTACTTCAATTTCATCTCTTACATTGACACTGACATTAAGCAAAATAAGTATTTCGCATTAAGATTTGTTTTGAAGCAACACAGTATGTGTTATCAATCATGTATTTCTTCATTTTTCACTTTATATGCACTAAAATAATGAATAATTTTAAACTGAGTCTGGAAATAACAATCAGATATACAATCTGCCATAGATTGAACCATTTCACTTTTCTTTGTAATGCTGTTCGTAGTGTGGTTGAATTCTGATCTCTGCCCTGATCCACTCCACTTCTTTTTTGTTGCTGTTGTTCTTCTTTGCCTCAATATCTTATTTTAACATCACCGGTATATTTTAAATTATCTTGAGATTACCTGCAAAAAGTTGATTCCGGTTATTATTGTCAAACAATGTGGCAGAGTGATTTTATGTAGCAGTTCAGGCACTTGGGCAATCACTTCATGCAAAATAATAGCTCATGAAAAAAAAAATTATGAGCACAATATTTCTAAGTATGCACAGTGATGCTACTCTTGATTTGTCTTGAAGAGTCCTTGTAAAATTAAGTATTAGGCTATTGATTTTACCTTTGGCAGCTCTCACCTCAAATCAGTTTTGCTTGTCACTCTATTTGTGGAATACTCTGGCTAGGTTAGTTATCACCTCAGTGAACTTGAAAGCAGAAGGCATAGTTGGCATTTCTTTTTCTCTCTCCTTCTCATTATGTTTCCAAATTTGGTAACACTGATATTAGTCAAAGGATGATTGCAAACAACCAAACTTAAACAAAAATAAATTGAAACAAAACAAAACCCATCACTGCCAAGTAACATTTTGTTTAACTAATCAATTTATTTTTTTTTCTAAAGTTCCTGTTTCTATTTTTCATGAAAATAAATGAAAGACAGAGTTGATTTGCCCAGTAAATAGAATTACTCTTGCACTTCCTACTGAGGAAGTTTGTTTGACTTCCTATATTTGGTTTTTGTCAGGGAGCAACTAAAAAGTTTCTTTCATTTCTTTTACATTACTTACTTTAACAGATATTTTATCCCAATTTATTTTGTAAATGATTAGAAATATCTCTCTGTTGCAGTAATTTTCTTCTTCAACAGAGTAAGGGAAATCTGGTCAGTTAAAGTATGAGGAACAAGGATCTACAAAATAGAGTCACTGAGCACAGGAGACCTGCAAAGGTCCTTGTTCAGGGAATTGAGGACAATTGCAGCCTTGCATAAGCAGAATTCTGATTACCAAACAACACAGTTTTGCCAGGAGCAGATGCTTTTTCTCTCTCTCTGTGACTGACAGTTCCTTTCAGTATTAATGAATGTGGCAGATATGGCTGAAGAAAATGCACCTGATAAATTAATAATCTCTTGTGGATATTTAAAAACTCTCTAGCAGGAAAAAAAATGTCTTAAACTGGGTGTTGTCTTTAATTTAAGCTTTTTGCAGGATAGCTCAGTAATGAGAGATGAGAAAAATTGAACTTTTATACTGGGACTTAAGTGTTTAGCTCTTCCATGTCTATAAGAAATTATGTCATAATTGTCACCAAAATAAGTACTTTATACATGATTTATGAAAGCTGCTCTTGCTAACACAGGAGCAAAGTGTAAGCCACAGAAATAAGTTATCCCTCTCTATCCAAATGAGAATTTTCACTCAGCTAGAAAGATGTACTCTATTTCCACTCCTGTCAATTCTGTCTTGAACAGTGAATATGTTAGCACTCCCCTTTTTCTGGAACATACACCAGATAAAAAGATTTTTTTTTGGTTTGTGCATGTCCACATTTGACCACCATGTGCCCAAGTCAAACAAAAGCACATTTTGATTCCTCCCTAAAAAAAAATACAAAAATAGGGCAGAGAAGGTGAAAGGTCTAGCACTGTCTTGTCTGTTCTGTGACTGTTTAATACTACTCTGTATAGAAAATCAGTGATTCAAAATCATTAACTTACCTGTTTTTATTTAAGCAACCTTCTGTGATATCCAGAAGAAATTGTCTCAGTGACATTCAAGAAATTTGCTTGAAAGTTGACTATCTTTGTTTTTCTCATCTTCCACATATACAAAACTTCTCTACATTTTCTTCCCTTCCCTTCCCTTCCCTTCCCTTCCCTTCCCTTCCCTTCCCTTCCCTTCCCTTCCCTTCCCTTCCCTTCCCTTCCCTTCCCTTCCCTTCCCTTCCCTTCCCTTCCCTTCCCTTCCCTTCCCTTCCCTTCCCTTCCCTTCCCTTCCCTTCCCTTCCCTTCCCTTCCCTTCCCTTCCCTTCCCTTCCCTTCCCTTCCCTTCCCTTCCCTTCCCTTCCCTTCCCTTCCCTTCCCTTCCCTTCCCTTCCCTTCCCTTCCCTTCCCTTCCCTTCCTTGCCAAAACTGATAAAATCTTTGATCACATCCATATTCTTTTTTCACTTCAATTCTAAATTTCATGAGCCTTTCTTCTTCAAAAACATTTTTTATTATACATCTTTTTTTCTCTCTTGAGCTGTATTTTTTGAGGACAGCCCATTCTGTACAGACCTGGTGACTTTCTGTGCTTGATGGCTTCTGCTTATTTGTAGAGAGAGCTGATTCTTGTTCTTTTGATGGTTTTGTCTTGTTACAAATCCCAGGCATGGTTTGATTTCATACGACAATTTTTTCTCTCTGTCTTTAAATGAGTGAGAAAAGGTTATACTTTTCAATATTTCAAAAACATCTTTTTTTCCCCCCCAACTAGAAGATATTCTTAACCAATCTTGTTTCTCTATGGAGAATGGTACTTTGTCTGAAAGAGATCCACGGTTACTTCCCTCTGTATAATTAATAGAAAAGTGCTTAATAATTTCAGAGTTGGCAGTTAGAAATAGAAGTGTCTCAATCTACCCCTCTTCCTAACTTCCACTCCTGGCTAATGCACTTTTGTGCTCTAATAAGTATTGCATGTTAGCTGTGTACCAAAGCTACATGAGTTTCATTTTTTGGCCTTTTTGTCGGTTCTTGTGTCCACTTATTTCTTTCAGAGTTAATTTATTCAGAGTTTAGGAGTCTTTCAAAACCTTTGTTCTGTGTATATACTTTGTTGCCAGATATGAAATTTTTGTAATCAACAACCAATTCCAGTTGGTTTATGTCAGTATCTCTTCAGGCACTGAGAACAAAAGAACTAAAAACCTAGAAGTGGATTCAGAGCTTTGGGAAAGTAAACTCTTTGTTTAAATGAATAAATAGAGTATAGGAAAAAATATAAGGTAAAGATGAACAATTATGAATTTTGTGGAAAAGTTTGTATCCTG